AATAATAAATGAAAAATATTGTAAAACAAAAAAGTTAGAAAATTCGATTTTTTTAATTCGCATCTCGCAACGACCGGAAGTACTGACGACGCACAAAAAGGTGATTCTGCAAACCAGAAAGTCACAAGCTATCGTCTCCAATAAGTCTCCAGTTTATATCTTTAGCCATTTTTGACAAAAAGGGGCGACAAAATTGCATTTTAAAATCAGGAAATCGTCCATAACTTGGCACCGGAAGCGAATTTTCCAATTTTTTCCTCGGATGTAACAACTTCATATTATGACACATATTTTGTGAAAGTTTCATTGAAAACCGCCGAATAGTTTTCGAGAAATCGCCTGCACAAAATTTTGTCAAAAAAAAGAATAATAATAATAATAAGAATAATAATAAGAAACAGTAGAATCACTATAAGGTCTTCCGTGAAGACGGAAGACCTTAATAATAATAATAATAAGAAACAATACAATCACTATAAGGTCTTCCGTGAAGACGGAAGACCTTAATAATAATAAGAAACAATAGAATCACTAGAAGGTCTTCCGTGAAGACGGAAGACCTTAAAAACAGACGAATAACAATAAGGTCTTCCGAAGGAAGTCGGAAGACCTTAATAATAATAAGAAGAAACAGAGTAAAAACAATATGTTCCCAAACTCCGTTTGGGGAACATAATAAATTTGATTCTGTTACCAGTATTTATATGTCAAATAAATTTCCTCGTACATTTATTGATTTTACATATTTTAGGGTTACGACTCCAGATGACGTCAGTTCCACTGGCTACAGCCTCTGTTATCTACCACAAGTTCTTCCGAGAGAACTCCCTTCAACAATATGATCCATATGTAAGTCGCTTAAATTAGACAGACGTTGTAATATCTACAGTAATTAGTATAACATTTTAAAGCAAGATAAGCTTACTTGTTATGTAAATGGACAAGTTATGCAGACCTGACTGAAAAGGCCTCTTTTCCTAATTCCCTTATACGTGTTTACTATAAATATAAATAACAAATGACCACGTCAATGAAAGAAACTTTTGTCTTTTACAAAATGTTTGCTGACAACCTGTTAGGTGAAGATTACTAGAGAAGCCCTTTTGTTGGTATTTATACCCCACGCAACTAGTTGCGGGAGGTATAATGTTTTTGACCCATCCGTCAGTCAGTCAGTCAGTCAGTCAGTCAGTCAGTCCTCTTTTTTTGTCAGCGCAACTCCTCATAAACCGCTGCACAGAATTTCATCAAACTTTGCAGGTATTTAGGACATAATGTGTAGATGTGCATATTACCAGGAAATTCCGATTCCATTATTTTTTCCGGGAATTTCCGCACTTTTTAACTTAGGCATTTGGCCATACCTTGAATATAGAGATGAACAGTTTGTCAGCGCAACTCCTCATAAACCGCTGCACAGAATTTCGTCAAACTTTGCAGTTATTTAGGACACAATGTGTAGATGTGCATATTACTAGGAAATTCCGATTCCATTATTTTTTCCGGGAATTTCCGCACTTTTTAACTTAGGCATTTGGCCATACCTTGAATATAGAGGTGAACAGTTTGTCAGCGCAACTCCTCATAAACTGCTGCACAGAATTTTGTCAAACTTTGCAGGTATTTAGGACATAATTTGTAGATGTGCATATTCCCAGGAAATTCCAATTCCATTATTTTTTCCGTGAATTTCCGCACTTTTTAACTCAGGCATTTGGCCATACCTTGAATATAGAGATGAATAGTTTGTCAGCGCAACTCCTCATAAACCGCTGCACAGAATTTCGTCAAACATTACAGGTACTTAGGACACAATATGTAGATGTGCATATTTCCAGGAAATTCTGATTCCATTATTTTTTCTGGGACTTTCCGCACTAAATACTTAGGTTTTTGGCCATACCTTTTATATAGAGATAAACAGTTTGTCAGCGCAACTCCTCATAAACCACTGCACAGAATTTCGTCAAACTTTGCAGATATTTAGGACACAATATGTAGATGTGCATATTACCAGGAAATTCTGATTCCTTTATTTTTCCGGGAATTTCCACACTTTCCAACTTAGACTTTTTGGCCATACCTTTTATATAGAGATGAACAGATTGTCAGCGCAGCTCCTCATAAACCACTGGACAGAATATCGTTAAACTTTGTAGATATTTAGGACACAATATGTAGATGTGCATATTACCAGGAAATTCCGATTCCTTTATTTTTCCGGGAATTTCCACACTTTCCAACTTAGACTTTTTGGCCATATTTTGAATATACAGATGAACAGTTTGTCAGCACCACTCCTCTTAAACTGTTGTACATAGTTTCTTCCACCTATGCAGATATTTAGGACATATTCCATTATTTTATCCCAAAGAATTTTGCCTATTATTCAAGAAAATTTCTCCCCCCCCCCCAACCACTTCAAATTAATGTTTGGATTTGTATAATGCCAAGAAATTTTGATTCCATTATTTATCTAGAAACTTCATTCCACATTTAAATGTCCTCATATGCAAGACATTTTGATGTGAAAATTTTTTGCAATTACATGTATTGCCCTTTTTGATCTATACTATGTATTTAAAGTGCACTAGCTGTGCCTTTCAATATGTGTATCACTGTCAAGTTTTGGGGGAGCGTGGGGTATGTGAGCTAGCTCACTTTTTCTTTCATTTGTTTATGTTGATATAACTTTTGCAGCTGATTGCAACCACAGCCTTATATGTAGCTGGGAAGGCAGAGGAACAGCATATTAAACTAAGGGACATCGTCAATGTCTGTTACAGGTAATGATTAATTAAACTGTGATTAAATGATAAGATTGAACATAATGACTGATAATTAATTATTATTAACATTTTCAAATTCTAATAGGTATATAAGCCCAATTACTTGTCATATTTTGATAGAAAAAAGTTATGACTGTCATTAGATTGGGATTTATTTATCGAAAAATGACAATTGTATTTACATAAAAGTTTTGTGAACATGCACTTTTGTACAAATACATCAAGTCTACTTCTAGTCATCTGATATATATCTATAACTTGCATTTTTCACTGAAAATTTAGGTTTTTTTTCTATTTTCACTAAAAACAGCAGCCACTTGGGTTTTGTATGAAAATGGAAGTGATTACCCATGCATTGGAAAGTGCATGATTAATTTGAGGTTGATATACAGTGAAATAATTATATTAGTAAAAACAACTCTTAGAAAACTTTAATAAAAAAAGTAAAAGTGATATTTCTGAAAATTGTCTGTAAAATTATCAATCATTGGCAAATTCCACAGTCCAACTTCTTCCATTGATGTCTAATTGAAAGAACAACAACTCTTATTATTTCAACTGGAAATGCCAGGATTTGTAATATGAGGGTCACACTTTTTTAATAGATACTAAGGAAATATTACTACTTGTGCCAGTAAGACTGAGGAAATATAATTTTATTTAAATTATGCAATATATAGTAGCATGATGGTTATGAAAACTACAATACAAATGACATACTGTCAAATTCCTAATAAGATTCTACTGTATTTTTCTTCCTACATGTATTTATGTTGTGTTTTAGGGCTTTACATCGCAGTAAACCCCCACTGGAGATGGGGGAGGCCTTCTGGTCTCTGAGAGACACCGTGGCCAACTGTGAGCTGTTTGTGCTGAGAATGCTGCAGTTTAAGATTTCTTATCAACACCCACACAAGGTATCAAATTCACCATTACAAGATATACATGTATAACTTAAATATATTTAATATTGAGGGTTCTGTAAGACTCTAATACCAAGTAGACCGTAAAATTTTGAAGGCTGTGGAAAAGGTAAGCAAATAGAAAGTTAATGTTAACTGATGAGTGGATGATCTATGGAGAGTGGATGACAATAATAATAATGTTAACTGATGAGTGGATGATCTATGGAGAGTGGATGACAATAATAATAATAATGTTAACTGGTGAGTGGGTGATCTATGGAGAGTGGATGACAATAATAATAATGTTAACTGATGAGTGGATGATCTATGGAGAGTGGATGACAATAATAATAATGTTAACTGATGAGTGGATGATCTATGGAGAGTGGATGACAGTAATAATAATGTTAACTGATGAGTGGATGATCTATGGAGAGTGGATGACAGTAATGATAATGTTAACTGATGAGTGGATGATCTATGGAGAGTGGATGACAATAATAATAATGTTAACTGGTGAGTGGATGATCTATTTAGAGTGGATGACAATATATAAATGGTGCCTGTTTTGGAGGGTAACAGTTGAAATTGACACCCCAAGGAAAACCATTGTCAACCGACGCGTCAGCGGAGGTTGACAATGGTTTTCCGAGGGGTGTCAATTTCAACTGTTACCCTCCAAAACAGGCACCATTTATTTTATTATACTGAATGTCTTCTTAAATCAAGTCAGCAAAAAAAAAAAATTGTCGATCATCTTTACGTTCACGTTTAGAAAGCTTTCAAACTCCTCGCTACTTCTAAAAAGATGTTCTGACCTTTTTATTGTTTGTTTGATACTCTAAGAGTCTTTTATCATATAAAGTTTTGTTATTTCTGCACTCGCAAGCATGTTTCATCTGTCGTTTGTTGTTTTCAAGTAAGCTACATTGGACGCAAGCTTTTATTGATGTCAAGTTAATTCCAGTTCTTTCAAACGCGCAACTGACGTTTTGAGAATTCTACGGTGAACCGTACGCGCATAATATCCATGCATGTGACATTACCGTTGTGTTACCTTTTGTCACATGCGTTGCTAAGGCTGAGGGTAATAGAACGGATTGTTAACTGCGTCTAAACCAATCAGATTTTAGTATTTAACATGAAAGTATAATAATAATAATAATGTTAACTGGTGAGTGGATGATCTATGGAGAGTGGATGACAATAATAATAATGTTAACTGATGAGTGGATGATCTATGGAGAGTGGATGACAATAATAATAATGTTAACTGATGTGAGTGGATGATCTATGGAGAGTGGATGACAATAATAATAATGTTAACTGATGAGTGGATGACAATAATAATTCTTTTGATTTGTATTTCAGTATCTTCTTCATTATCTCAAGTTTCTCAAGGACTGGTTTGAACCCTACAAATGGGAGACAACTCCGATAGCCCGTACTGCCTGGACATTTTTGAAGGACAGTTACCATGGGAACTTGTGTCTGCGTCACAAGCCCCAGCACATTGCGGTGGGGTTAATCTACATGGCGCTGCAATGTCACGGTGTTGAGGTGCCGCTTCAGAGTAATGTCGCCGTCCCCTGGTGGAAGGTAAAGCCACTACAGTAGAACATATTTAGGCCATGCAAAGTTAATTCCTTGGTTCTCAGGCCTTTTTTTTCAAGAAATATAGTGAGGAAGGGAGGCATTTTTTTAACTTCTTTATTGCCCCCAAAACATGATGAGGCATCTTTTTACATTGCACAAAACCTCAAAAAATGATGAGGGGGGTGATTTGTTGTTTATTGATTTAGCAATAAAAAGGGTCAATGAGGCACCCTTGGAAGAGATGAGGGAGGGCCTGAGAATCAAGAAAATGATTATTTTATGGCCCTACAATGGAGTGCCAAGAATAGTTAATTGTGTGTTGTTGTAAGTGTAATTCATTATATCCTTTAGCTTCACAATATGTCTAAAACCAAGGGGGACGAAAATCACTTGCTAGTAATAATTAATTCATGATAGGCATGTTCATTCTGAGCATGTTTTCCTGTACATTTTTGTTGTTATAGTTGTATATGCAGAAATGAAGAGATTTAAACAACCATTTTTTTTGTTTCTTTCCTTGCCTGTGCCATATTGACTATGATTTAAAGTAAAATAAAATAAATAAATAATTTGAAAAAAGAGTGATAAGGGTAAATTTTAAGCTTGAATTTTTCAAAAGATGCTTTTATGAAAAGAAAGAGCTCTGAAGTTCAAATTATGGAACAGAAATTATCATTAGTTTGGTTTAATGTAGGAGGAGAGAAAGGTAATTAACTGACATTTGTTGAAGTCAATTATTTTATACATTAATTTCAGTGAAATTTATAGGGATTTTAAAAGTTACTACATTGTATCATAAAGCTATAGAGATAAGTATTCATATTCTAAAAATGAATCATGAATATAAAATCTCTATGTATTCAGTCAACTTAGGATTTTTACAATATTTCATCATAGTTTTTGCAGTGTATATATAATTACATTGCTTCCTGTTTCTGTCTCACTTTGTAAAGTTGAAAGAAGGATAGGAGAGGAGTGAACCCTGAAAAAAATCCAGTCAAAAGAAATAAACAAATACTCAGGTGTATTGCAGAAGATTGATCAGTGATATTGTATGATTTATCCCTGAACTTGTAGAAAGACGGTATCTGTATGTATTATTTTGACAGGAGTAGGCTATCTGATTTTCTGTAGCACTTAGATAAACAAACATTGGTGATAAAGACGTCAGACTTAGGAATAAAGGAGAGATCATTTATATTTACTGGTTGTTGACCATATATACAAATGTACATCTACTTAAATCAGTGCTAGACTTAACAATAGTCTTCCATTTTAATTTTGGGTTTTGTTAATTTTCAATTCCAACACTGTATTTGGTTGTAATTGATTTCAAAAAAGCCTAGAGATGTGGAATCTGTATCAACAATAAATTTTTACCTTTGCTTTATCTTGTTTTAGCAAGTAGAGGACAAGATAAAAAAATCTTGTATTCCATCTGATGAATTTAATGGACAAAATTGATATTTTGGGACATTCCACTTGTCAATTTATTAACACTGTTCTGCAATATTTTTTAAAGAGTTAGTCAGTGTTTTCATCGAATCAACTTTTTAGGTCACCTGAGTTACTCAGGTGACCTATTGCTATCTGTTTTCGTCCGTCGTCGTGCGTCGTGTGTTGTGTGTTGTGTGTCGTGCGTCGTGTGTTAAAATTTGAACATTTTCAGCTTCTTCTCTGAAACCGCTGCACCAATTTCAACCAATTTTGGCACAAAGCATCTATGGGTGAAGGGGAACATAAATTGTGAATTTCATGGTCCCCGCCCCCAGGGGCCTGAGGGATGGGGCCAAAACCACAAAAATTAGTGCAATGTTTAAAAATCTTCTTCTACACTCCTGGACATCAAGCAGGCAAACTGTTTGCATGAATGTAATGAGCATTGAGTCCTCTACCAAAATTGTGAAATTCATGGCCCCAGGGTCAGGGGTTCTAGTGCTAGGGCGGGGCTATATAGATCATATTGTGTAAATGCATGATTTCTTTGAAAATCTTCTTCTTTGCTCCTGGGTATTGAATAAACTAACCAAGCACATAGTTATGATGAGCAAGAGTGCCTCTTCCAAAATTGTGAATTTTATGACCCCAGGGTCAGGGGATCAAGTCTAAATGCGGGGCTCTTTGGTTGTATAGTGAAAATACATTTATTCTTTGAATATCGTCTTCTCTACTTCTGGGTATTAAATAAACTAACTAAGTACAACTAAGTACATAGTTATGATGAGCAAGAGTGCTTCTTCAAAAATTGTGAATTTTGTGACCCCAGGGTCAGAGGTTCTGGTGTTAGGGTGGGGCCCTATTGATTATTTGGTGAAAATGCATTAATTCTTCGAAAATCTTCTTCTCTGCTCATGGGTATTTTAAATGAACTAACCAAGCACATAGTTATGTTGATCAAGAGTGCCTCTTCCAAAATTGTGAATTTTATGGCCCCAGGGTCAGGGGTTCTGGTGTTTGGGCGGGACTCTATTGATCATATAGTGAAACTCTATTGATCATATAGTGAAAATGCATTAATTCTTTGAAAATCTTTTTCTCTGTTTCTGGGTATTAAATAAACTATGTAAGTAAATAATTATGTTGATCAAGAGTGCCTCTTCCGAAATTTTGAATTTTATAGTCCCAGGGTCAGGGGTTCTCTTGTTAGGGCGGGGCTCTATTGATCATATAGTGAAAATGCATGATTTCTTTGAAAATCTTCTTCTCTGCTAAGTATTGAATAAACTTAGTACATAGTTATGATGAGCAAGAGTGCCTCTTCAAAAATTGTGAATTTTACGGCCCCAGGGTCAGGGGTTCTGGTGTTAGGGTGGGGCTCTATTGATTATGTAGTGAAAATACATTAATTCTTTGAAAATCTTTCCTTTGGTCCTGGGTTTTATGCCAATATATATTTAATACTAGCAAAATGGTTATTTTTTATGCCCCCCCCCTCCCTGGGTCGGAGGTGAGGGGGAGGGGGTACAAAGTCTGAAAATAAATTAATGCTTTGAAATCTGCTCTTTGGTATTAATCAACAATTTTATGATAAAATTTGCAAAATTTTGAAATATGTGGCCCCAGGATCAGTGGTTCCTTTGGGATGAGGTGCACAACTGGTTATAAAGTGCAAGTGCATTTTCTCTTAATCTTACTCTGATCTACCTCTGGGTATTAAGTAAATAGAGTAAGCATGCTAAGCCTATAATTATGATAAGCAATGGTGCCTCTTTCAAAATTGTGAATTGCGAATTTCATGGCCCCTGGTTTAAAACACAAACCAAATTTAATTATTTGAAAGTTGTTGCACTGTACTCAGGTGACCTATAAGGCCCGTGGGCCTCTTGCTTTTTGGTCAAATCTATTCATAGTTCAAAGGGAGGTAGTGTTGTTAGCAGTATCAGACTTTGAGAATGACCTTTCCTGGACTGAAAGATAGTGACCTTCCGAGATAGAAAAATAATATCATAATCTGTGTACATGAAGTTTTTTGTTTTGTTTTTTTTTTGTTTTGTTTTTTTTTTTTTACCTCAGAAGCTCATAACTCGTGCCAGGGGTCCTGAGTCAACAGGATGCAGAATCCTGGCAAATTTCATTTGAAATTTTATGGCTCGTTTCTCTCATTAAAAAGCTTCAATCAATTTAAAGCTTTGAAATTCATAAATAGTTAGATAATGTAAAAAGAAAGGATTCAGTTGACACCACAGATGCACATATTACAAGTTGTTTAACATAGAATGGCCTATTGTGATTGCTTGACAGATAAGATAAACAATCAAGATTTGTAATTTTTCCAAAAAATATCACTACAGTCAGCCCATGAACTATTGAATGAAATTTGCAATGGGTCCCACAGCAACATGTTGACTTGGGACCTCTGGCATTGTGAGGATGATAGCTCTAGAGATAAATTTTTTTGCAGACTGAATTTTTTTTTTTGCCAGTTGTAGAATACAATGTAGAAGTGTATTACATGTAAGTGTGTTCTTCCTTTCTTCTAATTAAGACTCATAGTAAAGCTTACCTTTTTCTAAAATCTATTTTTAGGTCCTCACTGATGACATCACAGATGACATCATTAAAGACATCATAGAAGTTGTTATATGGACATATGACTTAGAAACTATGGCAACGACGTGAGATTCGCATGGTGTGTGTAAATTGGAAATTTCAAAACCAGTGGTTAATGATTTTACAAACTTTTCAGATGGTTCACAATGCCTTCATGCAATATCATTGCATTGTATTTAAAAGAACTTTTGTATCAAAACATTTTATAAAGATCTTTTTATTTTAAGTTTTTTTCTGAAATATGGAAATACATGTATCATTATGTGAAATGTTGTTTAAACTTGTAAATTGTTTTTAAAAAATGTTGACATGGAATGAAAACATTTATTTAATTAGTAGTTTTGAAATCAGTGCAGTTAATAAAGAGTAAACAACACTTCCGATGTTTTTACACCATATAATTTAGATTAATATTTTGCATTGTTTCTACTTTCACTTTACCTTCTTGTGTTCAGAAACAATAAACAAGTCCTAAGAAAGAAAGTCACTGTGTTCATTTTTATTTAACACAAATCTTCAGATTTTGCAGAGAAGAAGATGGGTAGTCATTTGAAAATATTTTATTACCCCAGTGGCCAATAATAAAGTAGCAAGAACATTCCTCAGGTTGTAGATGAACAGATGTTCAATGTATCTCTTATTTTGGGCAACTCAAAACTCAGATCTCTAGAGATATAATTTTTAGTCCAGTTAGACCTCCAGTGTTATGGTTGTCTTAGATATCCACTAGTGGTATGGTCTGTTGTATTAGTTCTTTACAAGTGGTATCATGGTTATTTTATTAGATCTTCAATTGTGGTATGGTTAATGTGTTAGTTTTCCACCAGTGGTATACATGGTTGTGTTAGTTTTCCATCAGTGGTATACATGGTTGTGTTAGTTTTCCATCAGTGGTATACATGGTTGTTTTAGTTCTCCACCAAAAGTTTGGTTGTTATGTTAGTTCTCAACCAGTGGTATGATTGTTGTGTTAGTTCTTCATCAATGGTATGGTTGTGTTATATCTCTCCCAGTTGTATGGTTGTTGTGTTAGATTTCCACCAGTGGTATGGTTATTGTGTTAGATCTCCACCAGTAGTATGGTTGTTGTGTTACATCTTCACCAGTGGTATGGTTGTTGTATAACTTCTCAACAAGTGGTATGGTTATCGTGTTATATCTCCCCCAGTGGTATGGTTGTTGTGTTAGTTCTCCACCGTTGGTATGGTTATTGTGTTAGTTCTCCACCACCAGTGGTATGAATTGTGTTAGATCACCACCAGTGGTATGGTTGATGTGTTAAATCACCACCAGTGGTATGGTAGTTGTGTTAGATCTCCACCAGTGGTATGGTTGTTGTGTTAGATCACCACCAGTGGTATGGTTATTGTGTTAGATCTCCACTGGTGGTATGGTAGTTGTGTTAGTTATCCACCAGTGGTATGGTTGTTGTGTTAGTTCTTCACCAGTGGTATGGTTATTGTGTTAGTTCTCCACCAGTGGTATACATGGTTGTTGTGTTAGTTCTCCACCAGTGGTATGATTGTTGTGTTAGATCACCACCAGTGGTATGGTTGTTGTGTTAGTTATCCACCAGTGGTATGGTTGTTGTGTTACATCTTCACCAGTGGTATGGTTTTGTGTTAGATCTCCACCAGTGGTATGATTATTGTGTTAGTTAACCATCAGTGGTATGGTTGTTGTGTTCTCCACCAGTAGTATGGTTATTATGTAAGATCTTCACAAATGGTATGGTTGTTGTGTTACATCTTAACCAGTTATATGGTTGTTGTGTTAGTTCTCCACCAGTGGTATAATTATTGTGTTAGTTCTTCACCAGTTGTATGGTTGTTGTGTAAGATTTCCACCAGTGGTATGGCTGTTGTGTTAGTTCTCCATCAGTGGTATGGTTATTGTGTTAGTTCTCCACCATTGGTATGGTTATGTGTTAAATCTTCACTTGTAGTATGGTTATTGTGTCAGTTCTCCATCAGTGGTATGGTCATTGTGTTAGTTCTCCACCAGTGTTATGGTTTTTATGTTAAATTTCCACCAGTGGTATTGTTGTTGTGTAAGTTCTCCACCTGTGGTATGGCTATTTTGTTAGTTCTCCACTAGTGGTATGGTTTTTATGTTAGATTTCCACCAGTAGTATGGTTATTGGGTTAGTTCTTCACCAACTAGTGGTATCATGGTTTTTGTAACATATGCAAGTTTTACAATGGCAGTGAGACGACAACCTTTACAATAATATTTTATGTTAACAGTTTATCAGCTTGTTACGTATTATTATAACTTTAAATGCGATAAGGTGATAACTTTCATTTATTTGATTTCGCTGGACTGATTTATGTAGCTTAATCAAATAGGTTATGTTGAAAGATAATTTGGGGTAATCTATTATACAAAATATAACTATTCAATATGAGAATTGATTATTTCTACTGAAGGATTTTACTATATACAAAGGTTCATCAGATTTGTAGATTTAAAAATCACGTTTAAATTAAAAAAAAGACATTTTTAAAGAATTTATAGAAACTTTTTATAAGTATTATAGTTTTCTGTGAAACCTCTGGCTGGAAATTTTTTTTCTTTATACACAAATAAACGACATCCCTGCATGATAAGATAGGATATTTGTCTTACAGATTAGTATGGGAGATATTATTGTCATTTCTACATTTTTCTATCTATTCTATATATACTGTCATAAAGTACATGTACATTATTTACTTATTGCAATTGAAAATTGTAAATCAGTGAAGATACTGATAAATATATTTAATATGCGTCAAATCAAACCATGTTATGTATTTTTAAAATCACGTATTAGTAGTTTATCAAAATGTTTCAGTATGGGATAGTTACATACACAGCCCTTTATCATATCACCGTTGTATAACAATTTCTTCTACCCACTACTCAAGATAAAGATTTACAAGCTGGAAGGATGTTTATTTTAAAGTCAAGTCCTTTTTTTATTCTTTCCTTTCTTTTTGTGGAGGTAAGTTTATATTCTCGAAACCATTCAACTCTTTTCTAACTTCGGTACCTGTTTTACTTTCATTGAATATGAAAATGCTTACGAACATCGGGGTAAGAATAAAAAAAAATTAATCTATTTGCTGTACTCCGACCGACTGGTCAAAATTATCCCTATACCCAATCATTTTTTTTTTAGCATTTTGAATCTGAAATTTTTTTTATTAAGTTTTCACAGTATAATTTTTCAAGGATGTAATTTAAAAAAAAAAAAATATCAAATCTGTAAAGCTATCTGGTATGTAATGAAAGCATGAATAAATTTCTGAGACTGTGATTTTCATGACAGGTATCATTTTGTGCAATACCGTAAAGCAAAAAGAAAAAAAAATATTTTCCTTCCTACCTACTCACCTTAAAAAATATGGGTCTAAGTACATCAAACAAAAATATTTTAATTATGGCCCAAAGTATTCAAATTTTAAGTGGAGGTATCAATATACGAGATATATATACGATTATTCATGTCAAATGTACACATATTTTGTACCTTTCAGCTGTTAATCCTTCGATCGTTGTCTGGAGTCAGTCCTTATATTGATGTGTGCTCAGCCTACTGCAACGCCAGCATGTTCAGTAGCTGTACGTGCATAAGGAACAATACAATGTTGAAGTGTGAGGGAAAGTCTCTCGGAATCTTCTTAGAAATGAATGTGAAGAAATCAAATCTCAACAGCAGTTGTTCTATTTCTTTCAGTCAAACGTAAGTCAGTTTCAGTATTTGTTTTAAACCTATTAAAATTTGCTTTTTATTGTTAAAGAGTCATATACGAAAAAAAAACAACATTTTTATTCCATACACCCCTGAAATGATAAAACTGCCACATTAGTATTTAACTGTTCTCGTAATATTGAGCTAAAGAACATAATATTAAAATTGAATTCTATTGAAATTGACCAGAGCAAGCCAAACTCTCTACGAAAATCAGTTAAGGACAAACAATGATTTTATCAGGTTCGACTATGTAAAAAAAAAAATTGCAATTTATTTTGTTAATTACCAGTATTTGTATTGTAATACTCTAAAAAAACTTTTATATCAAATTCTCAATATTCTCACTTTTAAAATACAATGTATATGCAAAAGCCCTTGGAAATAAAGAAGGAATCGTCTTTTCAAATTATATAAAGACAAAGAAATAAACTTAAATATAAAATACATAAAAAGGAAAAACAACTTTGTATCAAATATTTTTAGTGTTAGTAAAACCTTAACCCTCCGTCCCAGACATATTCATAAGTCATAACACTTATTCTAATTTTGTCTAATTTTGATCTCTCGTCTATAAATAATTCTAACCTTGTTTTCAACGTTCTTAATATCAATTATTCAGACTTTGGTGGTGAATATGTTTTTTTTTTTTTGAATTAGCAACTTTAGGAAGATGGTAGCGTTTCCATTAAATATAGAATATCATAAAAAGAGTTTGAACATTTCATTGAATACACTTTTGCTCTTGACTAATAAGAACAAGCAGTAAAAAAATAACGCGCAAAGAAAAGACAAAAAACAAATTATTAATTAATGACTTTGACTATCATTTT